ATCCTAGATTTCGCTTCGCAAAACAAATTGTGAATTTTGTGCCACTGACGTATAGATAATTTATTAATGTCGTTAGGTAAATTATTTATTTACAATTGATATCATAATACTATATTATAATTGGTAGTTTGAATGGGCACCACTTCCAGGCACGGATCCAGAGAAAAAAATTGGGAGGGATTTTTTGGTTAATGTAAAATTACCATATTGGAATCACTATTCACCATATAGAATGATACGTATAGTAATATATTAAATTATCAGACACACGTATTGTAATTTAAAATATAGTAATTTCAGTATCTGTAGAGTTATTAAAAAATTTGGAAAATTATGGGTCTGTGGGGCAGGGGGCTGGGCCCCGAAGCCCTCCTGGATCAATCCCTGTCCACATTATATTTTCACTTTTACTTATTTAGGTATCTAGGTATTTAGGACTTTTTACTTCGGACTTTTTGGCAGTACCGTTTAGTGTTCATATTATAATAAGCAATATATTTAATGTTATTTTTAATGACAGGCAACAGGCCCAAAAAGGGCAAGAAAAAAAACAAAAAAAAAAAATCAACAACGGAGGTGGCGACGGCCCCTGATATAGTTTTAGAGCAGCAGGCCCCTGAAACATCGAAGCCTGCAGTTGACAATGGGAATTAAGTAAGAAATACTATTTACATATATAAGATTTCCGTTAGCGAAATGTTGTGATACTTGTATTTTAATTTTTATGTTTATTGTTTTTTTCAGCCTAATACATTTTTTTTAACCTTTTTTTTTAACATTTTTTTTTGCGGCCAAATTTTTGTTATATAATTATTGAATTTTTTTTTGTATTTTAAATTTTTTAAATTATTCAATAACATTGTTGTCTACATAATATATATTATATTTAAATTTTTTAAATTATCCAATAACATTGTTTTCTACACATTATATATATTATATATCTATGCATTATATTATTATGATAAATGTTATTAATTAAAACTACATTATATATTATTATAATTTACTTTTGTTTTATTTATATAGTTTATATCTGACCTGTGTGGCTGTATACTTAACAATTAACTACTATAATATTAAGAAGTGTGCATGCACTTAATCAAGTATTACGTGAACTAAATTTATAACCCATTCATTTAAAGCAATTTAATAATGTAGGTACTCGTGGTGTGTAACATTAATGTGTATTTTATCTGATAAGTTAAAATAAACCATAGTTTGCGAAAATAGTAATTGTTTTGGTTAGTGTCTCTCCATCAATATTATATTATAACGTACCCAGGTTAGGTTAGATTAACAACAAATGCTACACCTAACTGCTGTACCATACAAATAGATGTATTATGTACCTACTCAATGCAAAGTATAATGTACATACATGAATTATAAAAACTTACCTCTTTGAGGGGCCGTGGTTAGTATGTTAACCACTTTTTTTTTTACCGTTCAAGTGCGGTGGTTACTATTTTAACCACTTTTAAAATTATTTTTAATATTTTTTTGACGGTGGTCAGCATACCAACCACCTTATTATCATCTTATACATGTATATCAAACAATATCACTGCCGCTGGTCTGATATCATTTCCCGCGTTTTTCATAATTTATTATCATTATCAATATTTTGATATACGTACTAAATGTTATGGTAAAGAGATATTGATTAAAAATCAAAATTAAAAAATCAGATTTTAATTATTTCGTAAAATACTCAACAAATAGTATTAATTAAAACTATTTATAGGATAACGGTAAGTAAATAACATTAATTAGGTTCATTATTGGGTTGTTGTAAATGTGGTTTCTATAGAGACCACCGTACAATTTTGATTGTAATAGTAACTAGTAGTATAATATATTAGTATAAATTTGTAAACATATTTTGTAGATGAATATTATAAATGATGATGACATTGAAGGTTTCCTGCTTGATATTCCTAGTGATGGTGAAAGTTTCTCTGGTGGTTCTGAACTAGATGATAGTGATAATGATAAAACATATACGCCAAGAAACACTATATTACATGTATCAGCTAGTTCAAGTGATTCAAATGATGAGGAGTATTATCATAATCAATTACCTACACCCCCAGTTAGTATTTTTAATACAAATATTTTCTAAGTATCTGCAATATTATTATATGTTTCTATTATGATATATAAATATATGTGCATATAATATGTGTAATCCTCTACAATTACAATATACCATATAATACTAACTATGTAGGTACCAATTTATATTTTTTATTAAAATGTATTTTTAATGTTGACCATATAATATGTGTATTGTGTTATATACCTATTATGTGTGTGACATAATTAAGAAATTATTTATTTTTTTAACTACATAGTAAGTTCATGTTGTATACTTTAAATGTGAATGATTACATATTATATTATGGTATTATATTATTATATTATTTTACAATATTTTATATTGAATTAGGCTAACCCTCAAACCTCTAGAAAATCTAGAACAATTAGTAAGCCGAATCAAGCAGTACCATCATTTGAACCTCCATATACACCTCCTTTATGGGGAAAATCAGAATTAATGCCTTCAGTTGAATTATTTTCTGATGATTTGCCTTGTGGACCAGCCGAAATTTTTGAAGAGCTTGAAGATAAATCCCCTTATAATATATTTTGCCAAATATTTGATAAAAACTTGATTGATCACATAGTTTTTCAAACAAACCTGTATGCTACACAGATAGGAAAACCATTTACACCTACTTATGATGGTGAAATTAGAGTGTTTATTGGGTTAAATATGTGCATGAGTGTTAAACGTCTTCCAAGCTATCGGGACTATTGGTCTAGTGCACCATATTTACACGATGAGTATATATCAAGTATGATGAGTGTAAAAAGATTTAGTTGGCTTCTATCACACATCCATTTCAATGACAATCAACTTCTACCAAAACGTGGGGAAGCTAACTATGACAAACTATATAAAATTCGGCCATTATTGGATTATATTGGTGTTATATGCCCACCACTATAGAGACTATAGAGACGCTTGTTTTACATAATATAATAACGCCTGTATGTAGGCGTCTTATCGCAGATATGTTCTTATGCGTGACAAGACTATAGTATCGGTCCTGTCGGCAATTTAGTCTTGAACCCGACTCATTCGAGTTAAGTAGTGTGCTTGTAGTATAAATTATATTTCTTAAAACTAATAAAGTATAATATTCTCATTTAAATCTAAAACGTGTGTTCTTTTTATTAATAATCTATTAAACAACATTTGACTATCACCCGCTACACAGAGAACGGTTTTCAACAAATTGACGTCTACGGATACAACCAGAGACGCAATATAAAATATAACACAACACCACAGGCATATGCGGTGGCGTTCATAACATAGGTGGCAGCGGTAGCCGTTTTAATTTTTTATTTCTTTCAAAAGAAATTCTGTCCAGTGAGTGATATATTCAAATAATTATTATAAAAAAAAAA